TGTTGAGACATCGCGTAAGTTCACACCTTCGGCCCAGCTGCCGGGAAGTACGTTAGTGGCGTCGACTTTGAATTTCGGCTCGGTATCGTCGGAAGCGTCAAGGACGATAAATGGCAACATAGCTGCAAGGACAGTCCCCTCTGCGCGATCTTGGTTAAAGGTCGCAACTTAATATCGACTGACCCAATTCAGTCGATCACGTCCCGCACCTGTGGTGTAGAATGGCCGGCAACGTGACCTAGAATGTCGTCCAAAACGTCACGTTGTTTATAGTCGAAACGAATGGTGGCACCCAAGGAGAGCAAGTGATCGTGGTGCCGGCTGCTTCATACGGCAATTGAGTTGCGGCAGCCCCAGCAGTGAAGGACCTGCAGAGCGTATATACGGACAGTGGTACTGTCGCCCCAGATGAGGATTAACTCATCCGCTTGCGCAGGTTTCTAGCCCTGCGGCACAGGCTAGGGCAGTTCCAAACCAAGATCGGCAGTTACAGTGTGAAACAACGTAAGAAGACTATCATTGACAGACACAGCCAGGAAAGCTGGGACAGTGAAGTACTGCTGGTGGTTGGCCTCCTGCGCCGTACGGCGAAAGGCGAATGCAGCAGCGCGGTCGCCTTCCTCGAGACGTTTTGTATCGCCTCCTGGGCCGACAGCCTCCGCGATGCCGGACACTCCTCTACTGCCGCTCGGACATGCGTAAGAGTCAATCAGCGACCCACCGTCAGCGCGATTTGATGCAGGTCAATTGGCGTGGATGCTGCCCAACGGACACGAATGACGACCTCGCCGTCCACAGGAGCAAAGACAGGCGATGAGACCTCAACCAAAGGTTCACGAAGACCGCCGAGGGCGGCGGCCCTCTGTGTGGAAGAAAGATCGGCCGCGCGGGCTGTTATCGTAGGACAAAGTTACATGTAGGCTTCGAGTAGAGATTAAATGCAACGCAACCTTCATGTTCGTTAGGACAATCTTTACGGGGGTTTGAGGGTTTGATGCTTCATAAGCACCACTCCTTATTCTGACTCTTGCAATGCAATGGGTAGTTTTTCAGAATCGAGTACTCCGAACGTAAGTTAGAATGCCAAGAGTACTGGCGTTTGAGTACAATTATGCTTTATAGTAGCCGTTCCTCGGCTGTCGGCACTGTCGGTCCGATAGGAGGGCGGAAGGTCCCTGCGTCGAGATTTAACGAATCGCTAGACAGTAGGAGGCCAAGGAAGCCGTGCGTGACAGAGTTAACAAGGATACAATACAGGGTATAAATTAAGGAGGAGGGATCCGGGAACCTAATTGTCTCAGGCCCCTCCATAATGCGCAGTCTTAGCATTTATCCTCTTCTCGTTACTTTAACTTCAGGGACCGGCACTGCCTTGGCGCGGTAGCATAGTAGGGCAGATAACTATAGTAGTAAAGATTTGATTCGTATTCCTGAGACTGTCACTTGACTGCTAATGAATAAGAACCATCGTTATCTGTGCCCACTTCTGTTATTCTTTCACTTGCTTTCTCATCCTGATTCTTCCTGGTTATTCTTGTCTCTCTCTATCCTAAACCAATTCTTTACCTTTGGTCTCCTTGACAGACTTTGACGCAAGCTTGCCATTATGTTGTTGTGGGGCACTCTTACCTCTCTTCTACCACTTTTCTCTACGGTCGCGGCTTCACCCGTCGGCCGACAGCTGGATGTTGACTGCTCTCCCGACTCATCGTCCGGCTTGAAGACTGAGTGCTGGGCCGCGCTCGAAATGGACAAGTACATCGCCGACTGGATGGCCGCCAACGGCACGGCAGCTGGATGCGACACTCTTGGGTTTGCCCAGTGTTATCTTCAGTTCAACGGTCTGACCACATTGACCTGTGATCGAATCACGTCTTCGACCTGTCCCCCTCCATCATCTAGGTTTGAATACTCTAGCGATCAGCATTTCTACGTAAGCTGTGCCCGGGCCTTAATTTGCCGGCCCATACTAACATGAGGGTCACCCTGACAGGCTCTGTGGAACATCTATGCCGTCTACCAATTCTTTACCCAGTACTCCCAGGCCCTCAGCAATGGAGCCTCTCTCGCAGGCCAGACAGTCGACAAGATTGTGGCCACGGTAGCGCCACCCGTCGAGGCCCAGCAGCCCGTTAGTTCTCTCATGAACGTCCTGGGATCTACCATTGGTGTTGCCAGCCTCTTCACGGGTGCCATCCCAGGCGATGCCGGCACGATACTCGGGCTCATACAAACCGGCCTGTCTCAAGCTCTTTTGGCCAAAAAGAATCTTCCGGAGACCTTGGTGAAATCCTCGCAGACGGCTAACGATCGCTTCATCCAGCTTGGCGACATTGGCTCATCCCTTGCCAACCTTGTCAAGGACTACCAGAACAACCTCCTCGAGACTGTTGCCTCTATTCAACGCGACCACACCCTATTCATCGCCGCCTGCGGCCAGGGCGGTTTCTCGCAGCGCGTCACCGCCTCCCTGACCATCCAGTCCGCCCAGCTCTATCGGCAACTACAGCTCTTCATCCTGTCGAGCGCGTTGAAGGCCAACGGCATCGTGTCGGCGAAGAGCACAGGGTTTGACGCACTGCAGGTTGCGACCCAAACTGATGCGATATCGTGCACGGCACTCAGCCCGGGCGGTTTCTGCAACCAATGGTGGCTCGATGGGGAAGGTAACACCTACTCCTTCCATAACCCCCGGGACACGCGCAACACACACATCGACTTGACCAAGACAATTGTTCAGGAGGAGTGGGCTACGCTGGACCAGGTCTTCAAGATTGAGGACTGCGCAGGAAAGGAGCCTGAGTTTGACGCAGCGTCCCTAGGCGTCAGCTGCTTGGTACGTTCCTGATGACACTGGCTTCCTATGCCCAGCTGACAAGAGAAACAGGCGACGCATGGATTCTGCGAGTGGAACTATCAATCTAACCTCCTCGATGCCAGGAGGGAGCCTCAGTTCAAGAATTGCCCGGATGATCCCAACTGGGGTTATCTTTGCAGCAGCTGGGAGAACCGAATCCTCGGTAAGTGCCGCCGAGCAAGAGAGAAAGACGTTCCTCGAGTCTCAGCTAACCACGTTATCATCTGTAGTACCCGAGTCGTACCTCGGCCCACTCCTTATTAAGGATAGGTTCGGAGGAAGTCAGATCTGCAAGAAGCGTAAGTCTGATAGGAAACTTTAGATGACCAATAGCTCATGGCTGCTTAGGTTAAACGACAGGATAAATAACCAGTTGGTTAGTATCCTATGCGAGACACTTAGTCCCCAGAGTTACTTTGGGAACTAACAAGCGTTGGAGTAATCGGCTGGACAGCACGAAGTGTCGAAGGCAGAGATTACGAACTACATCGGAGCCGTAGACGTGGCGACTTCTTTGTCACTCCTCATAGTATATATGAGACACGGCTTTCTGCTCTTCTTGCTTCTTGCTCTCATGGTTTGGTGGCCTTTATTTTCGCTGTCTTTGGTTTACTTTTAGCTAAGCAGAGACTATTCGCTCCGCCATTAGCCACAAATAGGTATTCCGAATATGAGAAAGTCCGGGGAGGGTTCTTATAGTAGTGACTGAAACTCAGAAGCGGCTGCGCCTCTTCTGCGACTCCAATTCATTGGGCTTTCGTCCTTGACAGTAGTATCGCAAGTCCATGAGCGATTATGCCGTGCAGGCGGACGGCACTATCGCCATGGACGGCGACGGCAACAACATGGGGATCAGCCAGATAGATGCATACGTCAAGGAGCAGAAGAGAACCGCGAAACGGTAATCCCGACCGGGGGAGCCTGTTAGCTCTGCCAATGTGGTTCCCGCAAGCACTCCCAACCCAACCTGACTAAAAAGCAAAAGAGGGCACTCGTGCTGAGTTAAGACGGCACAACAAAGTACTAGAACAAGTTTTCAAGGTCGTACGAGTTTGATAAGTTGCGAGACAAAAAGAAGTGGACTTGGGACCTTGTGTTAACTGGGGAGTCAAGGGGTTCACCAAACCACATGCAAGCGAACCCTTGCCGTATCTTGTCCTTTGCCCGAGCGTCTTTGGTCTGCGCCTGTTAAATAAGGGAAACAATTGGAAGTACAGGCTCCTTCAAGTTCCGTCGGCCAATCGACCATTGGGTCACGCTGTCGGGACTAGCTCGTGTGTACAATAGAGACGTCCATAGCTTCAGAACTTAAGCTCTATCTCACCTACCCTAGATAATTTTTTCCACGGACAATTCCACCTCGTCCACGGCGGCTTTGAATCTTATCCTCCCAAAATTGGGGGGTACGACATCGTGGACATTCTGTATGAGACGTACACCTTGTCTAGCGTCAACACAAGACATATGCTCAGATGGCCGTCGCCCTCCTAAACACGCTGGAGCAGGAAACATACGGCATCATCTCGAACTGGCACACGGGTCACGCTGCAACAGACAAAAAATGACAACGACGCAACATGAACGCAGATAGCTATCGATATCTCGTGGTCTATCATAGCTCGTTTCCATGAGCGCAATCAAACCTCGTCTCTCCCATGCTCTCTTCCCGAAACCCATGCCTTTGAGCGACCAAGGACCTGGCTAGCTGCCTCGCACTCTCCCTGTCGCTGCTCCCGGGAGGATATGACTGGTCGAGCACGTGCTGGAGGAACTCAGCAACCTCCGTCTGGCCATGATGCCGGGCCTCTTCCACTGTAGTTCTTCCCGCGGCATTCCTCGCTTCGATGAATCGAATCATCTCTGCTTCAAAGGGAAATGTCTATTCGTTCTCCTCGACTGAACCATTGCGGTCATACTCCCCTGGCTCGTCCCCACCGTGTGACGTTCGGGTCTAGACTAGCTACCGGGTAGATGGAATAGAAGTCGGGTTTGAACTAAGTACACTAGGATATCGTTAACTTAAGCGGTCGGGTTATAGTCTATATATAAGATAGTAGATCTTATATAGATAATTATATTAATAGCTAAGGAGCTAGTAGAGACTAACTATAGTAAAGCTAGGCTTCCTATATACTAAGTAAATATTATATAGTCGACGATAGTCGATTATTATTTACGAGCGCCTTTCTAGTATAGTCGAGTCGCTAGTCGCGTATAGTCGTTTACTATATATAGTATACGAGTGACGTATAATAGGAGGAAAAAGTAAGGGGCACGTGAGAGGCGCATACGGTCGCATGTCGGGTCGTAACACCCCGTTAAGCGTATCGCGGCCCTTAAAGTTACGTAGAACTGCCCTAACTAATGGAAGGCCCCCGGTGCGCGCAGCGACATGCAGCCCATTATCACCCTGCATGTTCTGGTGCATAAATAAGATATGCCTATCACGAGGCTGTTGGTAGCGTGCACGCCCGAATCCGCAGGTCGGATAGAAACTGCACGCCTCGAGAGCTCCGATACGGCCCGATCGGACAATGGCATGGACGAGCGAGTCGCCCGTCTCTGGGTCAATAGCCTGAAACCAAATATCAACACCATCGGCTTTGTACCTCCTATAGGTAAATGTTTCGCGCAAATCACTGTGGTCCGACACTTCCAGACTGGGAACCGTGTGGAGAATGTCCCGGATGAGCGGCGAAGGAAGGGGGCCAGGCGGACTGGTGGACAGACACCTGATGGTAGGGATTAGATCGACAGGAGCGGGTAGGGTCGGACGGACTATAAGAAAGCGGGACTCGGACGCCGAGGAAGAGATGCTACCATGGCGACGGGTTGGCTCCTCATCAGATGAGTCAGTTGGTTCTGAGTCGGCGGCGGCTGGGCTCTTGGCCTCGTCAGACGAATCATCTTCCCTGCCGTCTCTGAAGAATCTAGACATGTCGGTTTAGTATGTTTTTTCTGAGGCGTGGGACAGTGATGCAGAAGAAGGGCGGAAGGTTATGTCTTGCCGAGTGCGAGTGGTAGGATTAAAATACTGCTGCCAAGACGTCTATCTTCGCTGGTTGGTTATGTCCTACGTTGAGTCATATAGTGATGCCTACAGCCAACCCATACGTAGTAGGTAGGTGACTCATAGTGCAACTCCGGCTTAGAGGACCGGATTCACGACGATTGAAGATTCCTCTGGAATTATATGCCCTGAAACCTGCATTGAAAGTGGGGAGCTGTTTGTATTTAGGTGTCTTTCTTGAGCGCAACTATTACCTACTTGACTGAGTGACTCCCTACCCTAAATTGTGTAGCGAAAGTTCGGATCGCCCTCAATAACCATCTCGCCCTTGTCCGCCTTTTTGTTGCACCTCCGAAAGTATACCGCATTGATTGCCACAATGAGGATCACGAGCAGACTGCACGACATGCAGGCGTAGACTCCCGGGCGGTACTGTGGCGAGTCTTGGCGGCGGAAGACGAGGGACCGGGTGATACCACCGATGCCGCCGAAGCCGATGAGAGTGGCGGAACAGAAGGCGCGCTTCCAGTGTCCGCGGATGTTGTTCGCCTGGTAGGCCATGCACGTTGAGATGCCACCGGGTCCGCTGATGCAGATGAGGAAAGTGCTGAAGTAGCATACACCTGTGTTCTGAGCAAAGCCCTGTGATGGAGGTCAGTGGATGCACGGATATGGCAGGCAGAGGGCTTACGAGAAGTGGTAGGCCAACGAGGCCAAGGGCTGAGTTGATGAAAAGAAGTGGACCGCGGATGCGGTACTTTTCCCCAACCCAGGCGACCGCAAACATAAAGGCGGCGGCAGCAAAGTAAGGAGGCGTCGAGAGGTACTGGGACTTTTCTACCGACATGTCCATGTTCTCCCTTAGAATAATGGGCAGAAAGAAAGAGAGCGAAGAGGTGATGGTGGTGCAGCAGCTGAACAGGGGCAATCAGTACACTTATCGACCGACGATTTTGACCAACCTCGACTGGTTGGCGGGGATATGGGGATTGAAACGTACAAGAGACACAGGGCAAATCCCCAGATCTTCAGGTCCAGCCCGGAAGAGGCCCAAGCCCTGAGATTCCACGGCTCGCCTGCGGCATCATTACGGTCGGTGTTGATGCGGCGCAGAATGAATGCAATCTCATTCCGGCTTAGGAAGCGCCAGTGCTTCTTGTTCAAGGCTTTGTCCGGAAAGTCGACGATGAAAATCCATCCCGCAATACCGAGTATGCAGGTGATGATGCCCTCGATGATGAAGATCCATCGCCAGCCGCGAATGTCGGCAAGGCCCTCCATTTGCTGAAGCCCGTAGGCGAGCACGCCACCGAGACCAGAAGCGATGGTGCCCATGAGATAGAAGACGGCGTAGCGCTTCTGCGTGTCGTAACGAGAGTACCACGTTGAGATGAGGTAGACGCAGCCGGGGAAGAATCCGGCCTCGAAGAGTCCCAGTACGAGGCGCAGTGCAACAAGGGAGTACCAGTGGTTTATGAAGCCGAAACCGATCTGTTTGATATGTGTGAGCCTAGGCCATGCCACCAAAACCAGAACGGTCGCTTACCATAACCACGCCCCACGCAAAGCAAAGACCAGAGAGGAAGTGCTTGGGGCCAGTCTTTCTGGTAAGGATGGTGGCGGGAGGCTGAAAGATGCTGTAGGTGATGAAGAAGACCAGGGTCGTGATGGACTACGGGAGAGCCGGTTAGTATCAGAGTACAATTGACCTTTTATCCAATGCGTGCGACTCACATAGCGGAAGCCAATGCTCAGTTCCAGATCGACCCTCATGCCAGCGATTGCTGCATTGGAAAGGTTCGTCCGGTCGATGAGGCTCACGCAGTAGATGGCCCCAAGCATGACAACGAGACGCCTGTCGATGCGATGAATGATGGCGCGCTGCTCCTTGAGACTGAACTCAGGATCATCTTCAATGTTGCCTTGCATGGCACGAGCCTCTTCGATGGTCTCGGTTCCGTTGTCTGGTGTTTTGGAAACGTCGTCTGGCTTCAGGTAGGTAGTCATGATGGCGGTGTGAAAACTTGAACTGAAAAGTCTGCTGATTGACGATGGACAACTGAATGAGAACCGTTCGCCATCTTTAAGTAAAATCTTCCGATACCCTTAGCTGAAACCCTTGCTGCTTCCCGCAGAGAGCTCAACCTGGAGCTTGAGTCCTTTTCCGCATCATGGACTCGGACCCCAGATTGTGGGTAGGCAACGCACGGGGTCATCATATTGTGGGGTATGCGGGAAGAAAGTTGGGGAAACGGAGGTTACCACCAATCAACATGGCTTCCGACGACTTCCGACGTAGCATACATGCAAGCTGCCTGACTTGGGGACCAAGGCAAATCAATAGTACGCTACTTACTCCGCATGTAGCTGCGGTGAGATCACGAGAGGAGGGTAGCGGCTGCGAAGGTATATCCCCGATGATCATTAATTAATATTGGCATCCTGAGAGCATGTGTCCCAGCCCTTTGATATTCTAGACTTATCCTCCGAATGACCCGTCCCGCAATGCTACGAAGGGGTCGTGCCCGGGGCCGAAGATGGCGTCCAGATCCATGGCCTGGCTGAAAAGCGGCATCTCGCCATCCAGAAACATGTTTGGGACTGCCATCATTTGCGGCAGAAGACTTCCGCTCGCGTCCCTGTTGTTGAGTGCGGAAATATCATCGTCCACAGTTAGCCCGCCTTGACCCCTCATCTCGCTGAAGCCTTCATTTGCGCTACCTGCAGACATTGCGAGGCGTCCTAGTGTCTCTGCCAACTGGCCCACCCAGCTTTCGCGGTCCTTGTACTGGAGGAACAAGCGCAGCACGAGCTCCCAGGATGCATCCAGCTCCACAGGCCCTACCTGAATGCGGACTTCGGGACAAAGGCGCGCGGCAAGGAGAGCCGTCGCAGCGGTGTAGAGATACAGTACATTATTCCACCAAGTGTTGGTCAAGTCGACCCCTTGCGGAGACATTCCTGGATCGGACCCCCAACTTGAGCCGTGGCAGTGGTATGTACCCACGATCCGGAGGGTTTCCTGAGCGGCGGCAACGCAAGAGACGGCACACTGAACGGCGATGGAGCGGGTGAGGAGGCAGGTTGTCGCCTTGTCGACAGATGCGTTTGGCTGTGGAGAACGGAGGAGGTTCGAGAGGAGAGGTCTTAGCAGTGCGGTTCGGGCTTGGTACAACCTGTCATTCAGTGTGCGCATCAGCCATGCACATGTACTTGTAGTTTCTGTTGTGCGCGCGCGTTATGGCGGTTACTCACCTCTGATGTAGTATGACGGCGTGACGCTGCTGTACAATGTCCATTGTGGAGGCAAAAACTTCCGGAACTGAGAGCTCCGGCGGGAGTGACCTTTGGAACGCCTCCAGCGACCGCTCGTGTCGCAGAACTTTATCCATGATAGAAAATCCCAGCGCGCCATGGGGTTGGACAGGTGCCTGAGATCCATGATCTGGCTCTTCCGCGTCCAAGGAGGCAAAGTCGTTCAGTGCGCGACCGATCACCATGTAGAGCTCCAGGCACTTGTGCAGAAAAGCTGACGCCATGTCCTCGACCTGCTTCTGACGGGAGGTCTCCAAAGCACCGTCGGCGGCGGCAGCGCCCACGGTCCACGATAGACACCAGCTTGCTTCCTTTTGGCTGACCGTCATAGATCGGCCGTACGTCATGCAAAGTATGCGATCCCAGACGACGCATAGTTTCCACACCCGCACGCACAGACGAAGCGCCCGTGGATCATGTATAGCCGCCGGTGTGTCCGGACGATGCAGCCCCAGCGATTGTGCTATGCGAATCGCCATGCCAGCATACATCCAGCATTGCTCTGGGTGCAGCGAGTGTAGGTATTCGGCGACGAGGAGGGCAGCCTGCATGACGGGAATAGAGACGGGGCGCGTCCGACCGCGGTTCAGGAGCTCCAAGACGCGACCGCAGTACCGTGCTGATGCCCTCTCTCTAGTCGCCACGTTGAGTGGGGTGTCGACGCGCGAGGCTATGGCAAATATCATGTTGGCAATGGACAGAAAGATGCGACCTGGAGGGTCACGGCCCCCAGTCCAGAGCGCGTTGTACGCATCGGTGGTCTCCGCCACGTCGGAAGTCGGGAATACTGGGTGGGAAGAGCTCCCAGTACGTGGCCAGTAACGCGTCGGCCTTTGCGCGGCGAGGGAGCTCGTAGTCAGCCTCGTCGAGCTTGTCTTGGGGAGAGTGGAAGATGAGCTTGTTGTGGCGTTCCAGGGCGACACTTTGAAACGGATGAGTCGGTCTCCTGTCGTCGCCGGACGCTTCCCCAGCCGTTGATGCTCCTGCGAGGCGAATGTTGGACGCAAGAGGGCCGACGCTGGCCGTTCCTAGGGCGTGGCGACGGCCTCGACATTGCAGGTCGAGCTCAATCCTCCTGCCGACTTGGCCGTACCAAGCTGGTTCGCGCGAGTCCGCTGGGAGAGAGAGACACGGTGACGGACCTTGAGATGTTGCGCTGGGTTGTGAAAAGGCCGGGTCATCTTGGAACTCTTGATGTTCGACACTCGAGTCTGGGACTGGAACTGGGACTGGGACTTGGATTGATGAGGCTGGATTCTCTGCATTGGGCCACCGAGTCGGACTGTGCCTCTGAGTCTGCACCCTCGTCTTTGTCTGCGTCAATGTCGCCCGCGACGACAAGGACCTGCCGTCGACTGCACCCCACTCACAATGGCTTGCATATCCTTCGCCATGTTCAGTCGCATTGGCCGTGCAGCGCGGCAGACGGGGCGGTTGCCGTCACACTTGACCTTGCGACGGCGACAGGGCAGGCATGCGGAGGTGACCTTTGTCCGCTTGGCCTGTGTTGCCGTCGTGGCATGATCCGAAGGTGGTGTCCGCTTCGGCTGCAGCGTCTTGGGCGCAGGTTCCATTGTGCAACGGTCTCGCAAATGTCAATCAATCGTCGCAGTCGGGACGGGGGATGTCGAGGACTGGAAAACAGGATCGCCATGGGGATTTGATCAAATGGAGGTCACCTTTTCCGCGTGATCGCGTCCAGACTCCAGAGTCTCCAATTTCCGAGACCCAACGAGTCAGTTCCGAGATCCTAACGTTGGCCATGGCAGAGCCGGTCAATGCGCTCGGCCGCCCTCTGTAGGCTAGAATGGAGTCGCGTCCTGGAGTCCAGGACTCCAGTCGGCACGCCGTCGCTAACATGAACATACCCCAACCTGCAAGTCGCCACGCGGATCGATTAATGTCATATCCGGGTGAACTCGACCGATGCTTATTCCTCGCTCCCTAGACCAAGATGGATCCGGGGGCCATAAGTACCCTTGCCTGGCCATGTCGCCACTCGACAGCCTTCATTTGTGCCCCCAACTGTCGCAACCATCAATCTACGACACACGGACATGTCTCCTGCCGCGCTCCTCTCCAGTCCTGGCCCCGAGCCTGAGGCCCGGGACTTTAGTCTCACCGCTCCCAATTCGCCTAGCCTCAAGAACGACAAGAACGACCAGAACAACTACGACGTGATCATAGTCGGCGGCGGCTTCGCGGGGGTTGGTGCTGCCATCGGAGCCCGACAGGCTCTTCCCACTGGTCGCATTCTCGTCCTCGAGAGCGAGAGCTGTCTCGGGGGCGCCGGCACTCCACGAGGCGTTTACTCGCTCTGCGGGCTATGGACCTGCACGGACAGGCCTCCGCGGACCGTCGGCGCTATCTGGGACGACTTGCACAAGCTCCTCCTCGAGACGGGTGCGACTACCCTCAAGCCCACGCGTCATCGCGGCGTCTTCTAGGTCCTCGAGCCCGAGGGCATAAAGTATACGCTCGACGTCCTCCTTGCCGAGTACGATATTGATGTTGTCCTCTATGCACCCGTTGTCTCCGCCATCCGCTGTCGCGAAACCAACCGCATCACCTCTGTCAAAATCCAAGAGCGCCGTGGCCCGATAACCTTTTACGGGCGCGCCTTTGTCGACGCCTCGGGCGACGGCGACCTCGCTTACCATGGCGGTGCCTCCATACGATACGGCAACCACGGCACAATTAACGTCGGCACCCTCTCTACGCGCTTCGGCGGCCTCAAGCACGCCAACCCCTCCGCCGAACTCTGGAAGTAGGCCATTCTCGCCGCAAAGACGGCCGACCCCTGCCTTACGGCCAAGCTCCCCAAGGTCTCGAGCGTCCAGGTCCGCCTCCCGCAGTCAGGCGACGTCACGACTTACCTTGCCTCGGCAACTTACGACGCCCGCGATGCCCGCAGCATCACCCGCGCCGAGCAGGTCGGCAAGGCTCAGGCTCTGAAGTACCTCCGCATCCTCCGCCGACTGCCAGGCCACGAGGGCATGTACCTTGTGTCGAGCGGCCTAAACTTTGGCACCCGCGAGTCGCGACACGTTAACGCCCGGTATTAGTTACGCGCCGAGGACATTGAAGAGAAGACACGCTTCGAGGATACAATCGCCGTGTGTGGCTGGGGTATGGAATGGCACGACGTGACGGCTGAGAATTGGGCGTCGACTTTCACATTACCGCCACACGGCGTTTTCGAGATTCCCTTGCGGTGTCTGATAAGTATCGATACCCCGAACCTGATGACCGCTGGGCGGTGTCTTGATGGTGATCGCAGGGCGGGCAGCGCGGCGCGGGTCATGGGCACAGGACTGGCCACGGGGCAGGCAGCGGGAGTCACTGCTGGGTTCATCGCAGCCAACGGGACGTTCCCGGATATAAAGAAAGTGCAGCATGTCCTCCGGCGCAATGGAGCTATTGTCGACAGCGATCACCTTCCCGATGGGATTAAGCTATAGAAGGCTGTGGGTATAGTGCAGGAGTCTTGTTATTATTCATAGCTATTAACCATTCGTGGTGTATATTTCCGAGAGAAGGTATCTTACCTATTAGAGGCCGTAGCGACGAGGCTTTCGTCGGGAATAGGTGCTATTGGTTTGTATGCCAGTGTTATCGCAGAGGCGGTGATTACACTATGATCGATAAGGGCGAGGATAACGCGAGCTCGGCTTCTTACGGCTCAGGAGTCAGGGGATATTTAACCCGAGAATGAAAACAAATGGTATAAATGCATAAACGACTCTCCTAATCTTAGCGTAGGTAGTTACTGTAGTAATCACTACTATAAGAAGTTAAACAACAGCCCCCACGGAGATCACTATAGCCCTTACTTTTAGCTCCCTAGCGAATGGCAGTCTGAACTCCTGCACGCCGTCAATATTCTCTTCGCTAGTCGTTCCTGGGACGTAGGTTACCTTTGTCGAGGCTTATCTTGTCCAGAACTACTCTGTCTCCCTCCCTTATAGGGAATATACGTCCCACGGAGCAATGAATTTGCGTAACGTAACGTTTTGCGTAACGTAACGTTTTGCAATGTCAGTATTACTTACACTCATCCGGGCTACGACGACAATGTTAACATCTAGTCATGGCTGCCCACTAGAGATAGCTCGTGGAATGGTCGCCTGCAGGGCACCGGCGACGGGGGCTATCTCGCCGGCTTGCAAGAGCGAAACGCCGCTGGCGCGATATATGACGGGTACGCTATAGCGTCCACGCATAGCGGCCACCGGCTAAGCAATCCCGGCGATAGCTCCTGGATGCTTAAGAGTCCCGGGAATATCGATTGGCCGCTGGTGTACAATTTTGCCGACTTATCCTTGGACGAGCTCGCTAGCTACGGCAAAGCGGCGACGGTAGCATTTTACGGCAGTCCTCCGCTATATTCCTATTTCAACGGGTGCTCGACGGGTGGACGGCAGGTCCTAATGCTCGCTTAGAGGTACCCGGAACGAGACCTGTGGAAGCGGGAAGACACTTGCGCTTCCGTTCTACATGCGGTAGATTAAGAATTCCTAGCACAATGAAGTCGGGCATATTAAAGTAGCTCTCGGTCTCTGGTTATGGATGCGCTAGGCGCGGACCAAATACTCGCTACGAAAATAACTCGTGGGTTCGCGAATAACGAAACGACCTAACGCAGAGCTAAAGCCTACTAGCGATACGGTCGTTTGCCTTACTAGAAGGGAATAATTATGATAAGCGTTGAATCCGCCCGGCCGAGAAACATTGCCGTGATTACAATGGCCCTGTAAGAGAACTCTCGAGGTTAATTATCCTTTATGGCGACTTAGGAAGCCGAAAGAAGTCTTTTCAGGCTTGTTAGGCGTAGGGCGTTGGGATGCAGCCCGTTAGAAGTCTCTACTAGCTATTCGCTATTGGGCCGTTCTAGAACCGCGGACATACCCGGTTGTCTTTACTACCTAGACATAGTAAATCACGTAGCGGTGAGGCGCCGACTAGCGGCATGTTACAGCGATCTAAGCGTCCGCGGCGTCTAGCTAAATAGTTAGCTCCCTGCGGCTGTGAAATAGTAACTAAATCCTAAGCGCTAAAGCTAAAACATCTCGGGCCTCTACGTTTGATGCCTATCTCCCCTATACATACATAACACATGTCGTCGCCTCGACTTGCTTAAGTCCTCACTATCTTTTTTCGCGCAATCTATATCTCGCTGCTCCGGCGACAAAAGGCCCGTGGGCCCTGGCGACTTACTGACTTACCGACTTGCGAACTTGCAGTTCCCGACTACCTGGCTTCCTGTAATACGAGTGCAATCATTGCTAATGTATCTGCTGCCCGCCGCGATAATAAAGACCACTGCTACTTGCACGTCACTAACGCCCACGGCCGAGATCGCTTTAGCCCCACGCACAATCACCGCCGGACCCATCTTTCCGTCTATATTAGCGTGGTTAACTTATAATATCTAATACGATTCAGAATGCGCCGATATCTTATTATTGCGAGGCGTTAATAGTAATTACTTACTATACTCGTCCCTAGCAGGCTTTTGCTCCCTAATATCAACCGTCGTAAACATCCTGGCCCCCATCTCCCTCGATTATGTCTCCTTCGTCTCCCTCGACTTTGGTGGCCTTAGACCTAATGCTATCCTTCCTTATCCCATAGGAGACCCCGCTCGCTTTTCCGACTGCCTGCGTGCAGGGTCTTAGCAGCTGCTAGGGTTAAAGGAAACCGGGGGATACGACACTTTCTATACCGCCTCCTTAGGGACCGGCCCCGGCGAGTTAAAGGTGCTATTTTCCACTGTTAATGTGCCGATGACGACCTGGGTCCCTACCTTTAATTGTGTTCCCTCCGGCCCGTACCGCCTAGAGCACTAATGGACCTGCTACGACCCCGATGACTACTAGGCGGCCGATGGTTTAGTAGTGTGGTATCTAACGCACTACTTCGTGCGAATGGACGGTACTCACACGAGCACAATCACGAGGGACGTCGAAATATTCTCTCTAGACGCAACGCCGACCCCGGTCACTATATATAGGGCCGAGGTGTTTCTGGAGGCGGGCGCGGTGGCACTCCTCGAGAAGATAATATTCTTCCCTAACGGATGGGTTATCACGGCCCGTGACGGGAGCGGCGTCACGTGTCCCTATCTCGGTCTCATCCTCGGCACCTTTGCTATTGTTAACGTTATGTCGATGGCCATGTCGGCTATCCTAGGAGACAGGCGCGTTATTAACAAAATCACGTTTAGATAGCTAGGCCGCTCCGACGAGCCGGGAAACACAGTCTACTTTATGTGGGTCGTGCCGCTGGTTCTGCACCTCAGCGCTAATGCTATCATTGCCCTGCTCCTTACTAATAATGATAAGTACGCTGCGGCTTTCACGATACCGGAGCTGACCCTCTTCTTTATCACGCGTCCGAGGGCGGGCTAGATCCCGGTGGCTATCCTCGGGTATGTCTATCCCTTTTATAAGGCGGCTATGTTCTCTAACTATATTTCGGAGCTAGTCTTGCAGCTGGCAGGGCTTTATATCGTTATTAAACTTGTCTTATATGAGAACTTTGATTCGGCTATTAGAGGGACGATTGACGATATACAATACTCGGCCGACCCTTATTCGCCTATCTTCTATAGTGGGGCTCTGGCTTACTTGATCTTCGCCGCCGTGACTATCCTGTGTATCTTGTTCTTCTGCTGCTTTCGGTCGACAACGGTAGCTAAGTGTATCCAGGTGGGTATGTTCATGGTCTGGGCATTAAGCTGGGTATTCTAGGGTGGTTACGTTAGATATGCTAACGAACTATGAGTTAATAGCTTCTTTCCTATTTTTATCACGCTCCGGACTAATTATTCTTACTTAGATACTGCCCTCCTAGTTGTGACGTTCGGGTCAGACTAGCTATAGGGTAGGTAGATCTAAGGTCGGTTTATAAACTAAGTATACTAGGATGTCGTTAACTTAAGCGGTCGGGTTATAGTCTATGTGCGAGATAGTAAATCTTGCGTAGATAATTGTATTAATAGCTAAGGAGCTAGTAGAGACTGACTATAGTAAAGCTAGGCTTCCTATATCCTAAGTGAATATTATATAATCGACGATAGTCGACTATCGTCTACGAGCGCTTTTATAGCGTAGTCGATTATAGTCGCTAGTCGCCTATAGTCGTCTATCCTACGTAGTATACGGGTAATATATAATAAGAGGAAAAAAGCGGGGGTTATATAAGAGGCGTATGCGGTCGTATATTAGGTCGTAATATAATATCTCCCCTTCCGAGATTCTATCCTAGAATTAGCTAAAACCCGTTAGCCGTCCGTCGTAAGTCGTATTCGGTAACTTCTTTTTTTTATTATACCTAACCGTATATAGAAACGTCCCTCTTCTTATAAGAGAACTAACGACTCGTGTCGCGCTATCTTAATTAAAGTTATTTATCTTAACGGTTCTAAGAGCGAGATGCCCTATACTCGTTATTATCGCGCTAAGCGCGTTTATCGTATAAGTAGTGATTCTCGTTATTATATATCGTGTATCGAAATAAAGAAAACTTATAATAATACTAGCGTAGCGTCGTATCGTGAGTACTATATATATTTTTCGTGTATATACTAACCTATGTTTTAGTAACGCGTGCGGTGTCTAAGTAGAAACGAGTAGAAGCGGATTTAGAAAAGTCCGAGAGGGAGCTCTAAGAGGCTCTAGGGCGCGTTTAGCGCCTTTATCGCTAACGAGAACTACTTCGAAATCGGACCTCGGAGTTAGTATCTCGTGGTATACGTAAGTTAGATAAGGAGGATAGGGTGCGTTCTTAGGAAGAGGCTATTCTTAAGGAGCAGTAGGTAGTTAGGCGTGCTTAGGAGTTAGGTACGTTTAGGGTTATCGATTAGAGCGTAATACCCGATATATTTCCCTTTAATAATACTATCGTAATAGGTAACGGTAATTCTTAAGGTATTTAGCGGGTTCTTATATATTTTCGCTACTTATATAGCCTTTTTATTTAATAAAGTATTTGACTTCTCTATCTATTGTTTATTTATCGATAATTCGTTCTAGTTCGTAGAGTTCTTCGAGGACTTCTAGTTCGTAGTTTATTTTTACGTTTTATAGTGCTTTTTCGAGTAATAAGATATAAAAAACTAGGTATATTCTTATACTTAAGGGTAGCGAAAGCTTATAGTTAGTATCTAAGATAACTTCGTCGATTTTAAATAATCTAAGCTTTTTATAGTCGAGCTTTAGTAAAGGTCGAGTTATTATAAAATTTTTGCGTAGTAGGTAGACTATATCTCCCCTCCGAAAGATCGGTCCCTTCGATCTTTTCTTATTATAGTATTTCGATATTCGTATATATACGAATTCGAGCTATCTTCTTATATATTTATATAGTAAGCGTAGTTAGTCTGCTTTAAGTATTGCTTTTTTAGTAAGAGGTCTATCCCTTGGTGTTTTACTGCCGAACTCGGGCTTATATCCGTAGTTCGTATAGAATAGTAAGATTTAAGTTAATTCTATAGGTGCGCTATTATAGGCGAGTTAGGCGAGTAGTAATTTCGAGACCTAATCGTCTTATTCGTAGTTAATATAGTACCGTAGGTATTATTCTAGTATCTAGTTTAATTTTTCTATCTATCTATCCGTCTAAGGGTAGTAAGCTATGCTAAGCTTATATTTAGTTCCGAGCTAAGCTATTAGAGCTTGCTAGAACTTCGAGGTAAATATCGTTCCTCGATCCGAAATAATTTCTTCCGGAAGGCCGTGGTTAGCTACGATATATTTAAGTACTATATATACGTGTGTTTCTATATCTATTGCTTCTTAGTATAGTAGGAAATATCCGAATTTGCTTATTTAATCTATAATAATGAATATACTATTATATTCGACGTTAGATCCTAGTTCCTTTAATTTAGGTAGTTTCGTAATATAATCGAAGGCTATTAATTCCTATAGTCTTAAAGGTACTAGTAGTGGCTTTAGTTCTCTATATAGTTTATACCGTATAGCCTTACTATATATATAGTCTTCGTATTATCTGACGATACGTATAACGTTTACTTTAATTCCTTAGTAGTCGTACGTTCGTTATATTCGTTCGAGAGTCTTCCTAACTCCTTAATATCCTACCGTAGGGTGCGTATAAATATTAATTAAGATTTTATCGCGTAGCGGCGGTAGTATCTAGAGTAGTCTATTCCTAGTAGGTCCTTTTCCTATTTCTATTATATAGTCGTCCGGTACTTCCTTTTCGTGTTTAGATACCTAATCTAGTATTTTATCATAGTATATAATATTTACTTCGACTCTAAATATAAGGAGGTTAAGTACTATTTATATATAGTTTCTTTTATTATTTTATTAAAGTATCTAGCCTTTTGCTTTTTATACTTCGGTATCGTAGTCTAGTCGGCGGCTAAGTACGTTTACTCTATCGTTTTCCGATCCTTTCCGATAGATAATTTTAATATCGTATTCGGCTAGGAATTTAGCGTATTATACTTATCGTAAGCTAAGTTCTTATATCGTAGCGAAGTAGGAGATATTTTAGTAATTAGTATAAACCTTAGTCCTAAACTTCGTTCCTAGTATATAATGCTTAAATTCTTTAATAGTGGCGATAATTACTAAGAATTCTTTATCGTAGATAGGGTAGTTTAGTTCCGCGCTATAGAGTTTCTTCGAAAAGAAGGCG